ACTCACGTGTTTGAATGTAAGATTCTAACAAGATCAAATGCTGGACATAAGGTATTAGTACCAGGACTCTCCCTAACTCCATCTGAAGATATCCTTCAAGTTCCAGCGTAGATAATTTACTCTTATGTTTTCTTACGCAATGACAATCATCAAAAGTCAAGAGCAGTCGTTATTCCATGTCGGACTTTACATGAAAAGACTGGTGTTTATTAGTTTTGGTCAATTATACGTTGATGTGTCTCGAGTCACTAATCCACAGGGATTGAAGATATTAATATGTGGGGGGACGATAATGGGGAAAATAAAACTACTAAAAATGTTGTCTATCGAGAAGCTTTTCAGAATTTGTAATACCATATAATATTGTACTTTTACTATCTATTCAATAATAATGTTATTTATTTGTCATTTACCTTTTATGATATATATATATATTAATGTATTTATTAAAATATTTTAATAAATATGTTCCGTGCATCGCACGGGTGAATATACTAGTTTTACTATAAATAAGTGGGAGCAAATGTCTATTATCACTTAATTTAACACCAAATTTTGTTTTATTATGCTTAAAATTGAATGTAGATGTAATTTGTATAAATAAATAGATTTTTCAATTTATAGTTGTCAAAACCAAATTAACAAATAAAAAATTATTAAAATAAAAATAGACAGTAATAAAAAAAATAGTTTAGATTGGGTTTTTTTTTTAAATTCATATTAATTTATGAAGTTTGTAAGGATATATATAAATTATCACATTATACTAATATTAAAAAGTGTAGACGGATTAGTATTATTGTAAGCATGCTCACATTTATTCTTATTTTAATAAATTGGATTATGTCTTTTGGTTTGCTTTATTTAATTAAAATAATATTATTTCTAATTATTCTTTAATTTAAATAATTTTCAAATAATTGCCATTATTTTTTAAGTAATGACGGTAAAAATATTAGAAAATAAAATAATCACCACTCAATTAGCAATTATATCGTTTACTTTTCCACTCCAAATTAAAATTTATCGACGCCCTTACTTTTCTACACTACAACAAAATGATCAAATTCCAACGGAAAGTTCCAATACAAATAAATTTTAATGGAATTCCAACAGAAATTCCAACAAAAATATTCCGTTGGAATGAATTTTTCATTGAATTTTTCGTTGGATTTTGAAGATTCCAACGGAGGTGGAAATTAAAATTCCAACGGAAATTGCAGAGAAAATTGCAAATTTGGTCCCAAAACTTTTTCTGTTTCCCACATTTGGTCCCAGGTACCACATTTATGGTCCTTTTTGATTTTTCGTTGCCAAATCGGTCCCGCTCCGTCAAGACTTAACGGTCTTATTAATTTAGACGTTAGTCGTTTTTTTTCAATTTGGAGAAAATTGTAAATTTGGTCCCAAAACTTTTATTGTTTCTCACATTTAGTCCCACGAGAATATTATTGGCTACTTCGGGCCCCATTTTGGATCTTTCAAGCATACTGTGTTTTCGTCGAGTTTGTGGATTCACCGTTATTATTTATCCGAGACGTATACATGTGGCTCTTAACCGAGGACGGGTGGCGGGATTCTTGACCTCTCTTATGCTTTCAAATGTCATACTGTCCAGTTGGCTTATGCATCGATATATATGCTTTCATTGTACAATCGTTCGGATGACTTTATTTTGCACTCGAGGATTTTCGGATTATTTTCTCTATTCCCACCGAAAGAACACCATTGGACACACGGGGTACACCACCATGTAGTGTATGCACTTTCTTTTCCTTATTTTCTTTTTCTCTTGTTTCTTTGCTTGTGTTCATGTTTGTTTTCTTTCTTATTTTCATTTATTGTTTTTCAATTTTTATCATGCATGATTAGGCGGTATTTCTTTCGTTTTAGGTGCTTTATTTTTTGTATTTGTCGTGTCGTTATCGGTTTTTGTTGTTGTTTTTGTGTTTATGTCGATTTCTCCCCATGAAGCTTGGTGTTTGTTTAAAGCCAAGATGGCTAAGTGATGAGTTAAGGTCTGTCGTTCGGTATCATTGTTAATTTGCATGCTTTATGTTACTTGATAAAATTAAATGATGATTTGTTGGCATTGGAACCCGCATTTAGATTAACGTAATTGTTTTTTTCCTTGTATGTTCTCGATTGGTGATATTGAAATATTTTTGCCTTGTGTTCGATCGTTGTAATCGTGTTATGCTATACACTTGTGGTATGTCTTGATTGATTGTTCATGTTAATGTATTGTATTGGGATGTATTCTTGTGTGCCGCTCCCTTCGAAAAAAATAATAATAAAATGTGAATTCGCGAGAAAGTACGGATTAAACTCCTCTTATTTCGATTCACTTCTTGGAATGAGATAATGAGCCCGAGCAATCGGTCTAGGAAACTCGAGGAAACCCCTCGAGGTTAAACCTAGATAATCATCGTCCGGAAACTTCGTTTGGAAAAATAAGCTCAAGGAAAAAAATGAATAAAAATGAGCTCATGAGAGTTGAAAGGATTAGACTCCGCTTGACCCGGTTAGTCTCTTTCGTGATAAATCGGGGGCAATGAGTACGGAAAACTGGCCTAGGGGATTCGGGGACAAACTCCGAAGATAAACCTATGTAATAATCGTACTAACGACTCTCATTTGGAAAAAAATACTCATATAAAAAAAAAGAGAGAGAAAAAAAAATGGGGAGTTGGCTATGTGGTTTCGTTTTTATTTGCTTATTATATGTTGATAGACCATCTATAGCTTTTTGCACGTGTATTTGAAAAAAATGGAGTTTGAATCGAGTAAATCATGCGTAGAATGACTCGGGACGAGATTTTGTTTTGTATGGATTCATCTTGTGGGTTGTGGGGACCGTGTCTTCGAATTTGAGTTTAATTTTGTGGATAACCGGAGGAAGACGAGAGTTTCATTTCGCAGGATTATTAATTTTGGACCGTCGATTTTTCTTCTCGAACTACTTGGGACCAAATGTGAAAAACTGCAAAAGTTTTGGGACCAAATTTGCAACTCTAAATTAAAAAAAAA